ACCTGTCATCGGTTCTAATAGGATAAACGGACCCGGAAGGGGCTCCGAGTTGGTCATCCTCGACTCTGATTTTTGATTGGTATCTGTTATGGACGTCGACCCAAGTTACCGCTGGATATTCAACTAAATTTTGTTTTAGCTGCTGTAAAGCCAAGGAGCTTCGGGTGTTAAGTCCTTGAGTGAATGCATGAACGTCCAAATCATCGGCGATCGGAGGTAGGTCCATCCGTTCCATCTGAAACGTCGACATGAACTCCTTAAGCATCTCGTTATCTCTTCGTTTAACTTTGAAAAGGTCTGATTTCCCACTCTTGACCTTGATGGCCCCCGCATGAGCCTTCACGAAGGTATCTGCAAGCATAGCAAACGAATTAATAGAATTTAGGGGTAAGTTGTGATACCATATCATTGCTCCTTTCGATAGAGTTTTTCCGAACTTCTTTAGCAACATCGACTCGATTTCGTCATCTTCCAAGTCATTTCCCTTGATGACACATGTATAGGAGGTCACATGCTCGTTTGGATCCGTGGTTCCGTTGTACTTTGGAATATCTATCATACAAAACCTCTTCAGGATTGGCTTCAGTGCGACGCTCGGAGGGAAAGGTTTTTGGATAAACTTCTTGGAATACGGCCCTTTTAATATCGGGGGTGCTCCCAGGATTTGGTCGATCCTTGAGTTATATGTCTCCACCTTTTTGTCGTTGGACTCAGTTTTCTTCTCACCTAATTCCACCCATTTTGTCAATGCTTCAAGCATCTTCAATATCTCAGGGTTGGCCCCGGGCTCTGCTTCACTCGTCCTTTCTACGGTTTGCTCGTTTCCTCGGTTGTTCTCCCGGGACCGTTCGGGATCGACCCTACCAAGGGGGTGGCCTTGATTCTGTAGTTGTGTTATCGCCACCTGTTGAGCCTGCAACATTTCGAAGATTAGCCACAGGCTTATCCTGTCACCTCGCCTTTGGGCGTTTCTCGAACCGTTGGTCCAGGTCCTCCATGAACACTATTTTTGGGGTCAGTTGGCATGTGTGTGCTGATATCGATCTATGAATTAGCGACGATTGGATCAACAGTTGGGACTCTGTTGGGATCAACAGGGGGCACCTCATTGCTAGGCACCAGGTTGTTGTTTTCGCCATGATGACCAGACTTAACCTCAACGTTCAAGTGAGCGGAATGAGAATTCGATATTTTTAGATTGACCTGAAATTAAACCTTAAAGAACAAGCGTAAAATATGGTATGTTATGGAAATTTGTGTCAAATTACCACTATTATCCTTAGCCTCACGGTAGACGCCAAACTATTTACCCTTAAAACGGATAACAATTGAATTTATACGTGGTTTTAAAGATACGTGGATTGATTCAACACAAACAATCAAGAACGTTAAATAAATGAGTTAAAGGTACTATGAACAACCAAACCAGTCGTAACGTTATGACCTAGCTTGAACCTGGATTGGGCAATAGTTTCTGAGTCTTGGGTTCAAGGCCAATCAAGAACAAAGAACAAAAATAAAGTAGAGACTTTTAAATAGGTGGAAAGGAGAGAAACAATTTTGTTTTACCTTGGTATACGTGTTACAATGTGTCTATAGAATAAAGACTTTTTCTTTATATACTAGGGGAGTTTTACCCCTAGTACAATTCTAAAAAACGTAAAAAATTCTTCCAAATACTGATACATTGCCGACGTCGGGCGAGATCTGCGCCGTGATATCCGATTGGGCGCTTATATTACGGCCTTCTGTTAGTCGTTTGTAACCGTTTGTAGTGCTTTTCGAGGTCTCGAAGCTCGTTCCGGGGTGTTGCACCATCAGGCCCGGCGGCGAGTACCCCATTTCAGCTTCGATTCAAAGAGTTTTCAGATTCGGTCTCTATCTCATATATTCATACTTTTTACTTCGTTTGTCTTACCAAGAACTCGAGTTGTGTGCTGACCCCGAGTTTACCCATATACAATAATACAAATCTAATCCAATTTGTTTTTTAAATTATGAAAGATTTGGTTTAATTTTAAAAAGTTCGACACACTACTTTTAAGATCTAGCTCGATTTTATATCCAAATTGAAGTATACACACCCTTATAAATTATTATCTAAACTAGGGCATCATTTATATGAACTTTAGGACTATCAATTTTATTGTCTTTAAAATTACATGAACTTTCTATTTCTTGAGATCTCTTAATTCAACACGTCTTTATTGAGTTTATGAATTCTTTTCCTTTTTTTTGTTAATACCCATGCTCTATAGAAAAAAATAGCGAATATTTTCCTATTTTATTTGTCATATTACCACTAAAAGAAATATAAAACCCATACAAGACCATCGGTGACTTCAATGTACATTTTTTATTTTTTATTTTTCTATTTGGGTTTGGGACGTGGGATACATAAATCGGTGAATTTAATGTCAATATATTCTTAGTTCTTCGATCTCTATGAAGGATTTTGTTCATCGATATCAAAGAAAAAACATTGTAATATGCATCAAACATAGACATTTATGTAAAATTTATTTATGCAGTGGTTAATAATGAAGAACTTATTATGTTAGAATTAATAATAAAGAGATTGTTAAAATAAGATTAGCTAATATTTATTACTAGTATTCACTAACGAGTATCAAAATATAAAAAATTGAATACACTGAAAAGTCAAGGGGAGTCAACTTATAGTAAATACACATAAAATAAAAATATTTATGTAGCAATACAATAGAATTTTCCGGCAGGGGTACATAAGATAAGTACAATAACAAATTCTATCTCGAAATTATTATCCTTATCCCTGGTATCAAACGACCCTTTTGTAATTGGAATCTTAACATTTTCATTTGGTTACCAATATAATGGCAAAACATTAAGGGCCCGTTTGGACATAAAAAATTAATTTTTCGATTTTTTTTTTTTTGAAATCAGTGTTTGACCATTGAAATTTCAAATTTCACTTGAAGTTGAATTTCGGAATTTTTCGAAAATTTGAAAAACTCCAAAAAATTATTTTTCAAAATTTTCACTTCAAATCACTCACGAAAATTAAAAAACACCTCCAAATATAATTTTAATTTTCAAATACCAATTTCACTTTAAAAAAAATCTTTTTTTTCCCGGAATTTCACAGTTTTTATGTCCAAACGCCACGTTTACTTTTTTGGTCATAGAGGCTGCTAATTGAAAATAAAGCTATAAGCTCGAGTCAGATTTGGTTGGAAGTTGAAATTCAGAGTCAAAATATATAGAAAGAAAAATCAAATAACAGATAGAATTGATTAAGATTTTACTAATTATCCACTTTTTTGTTTTGGTCCTACATCCACCCTATTCTAAATTAGAAAAATCATATAATTAGTGCATGAGGCCAACACGTTAACCTATGCCATCAAGTTGAAAAGCATAGATTACACTTGGACGACTATAAAAAAAATATGGAGGACCATTCTTAGGCTGGCAAAGTTAGGCATATAGTTCAACCATAATAATTATTGATGATATTCCTAGAAACAACTCTATCCCATCAAATTTATTGATTAAAGTTTATAAGTTTTAAATTTATTATTCAATTCATAACTTATTTTAATTATTAAATTTGTAATTAAATATTTAATAGATTTCTTAATACGAATGCAGGAGTCTAATAGCATGTTTGGTCAATTAATCTTTTTAGTCGGAAAAAAAAGTATTTTTTTGCCAAAAATGCTTTTCCCTCAAAGTTATGATATCTGATCGAGCTTTTTGAAGGAAAAAAAATATTTTTGAGTAGAAGTATAAGCAATTTTTAAGAAGTAGAAAAAATAGTGTTTCCTCAAAAACATTTTGAGAAAAATATATTTAAAAATATTTTTTAAAAGATTTGTCAAATATTATTATTGTTCAAAATTACTTTTCAAATTAATTAGCTAAACACAAATTACTTTTTATCAAAAGTACTTTTTTGAAAAAACTTTTAAAGAAAAACGCCTTTCAGAATAAACTGGTTTTAGAAGTTTGGCCAAACATGCTATAAGGAAACGTTATTAAATTCATCTGAATCCATAATTCATTTTCTAGCTCCACCCCTATATGTATATATTTATTAATGCACGTAAAAGATTCAATCCCATTTTCTTCTTTTAAGAATCAAACTAAAAACAGTTTCAAGCTCGTTCAAAAATTTGTAGTAAAATAAATGCACTCTGATTTTACTGACTATAAAATTGAATCATCAATGGATATTACACTACTGTATTTCCAGTTATCCACTAAAATACCAAAGTGTTATTCTACTAACACATACTAATCATTTTAAAAATTCCATTTAAAAATTTATTTGCCATGAAAACTTAAAAAGGTTGACTTTCATGGAACTTGTTATTATTCCACAATATTAGTTTTTTTTAAAAAAAATAAAGTTTAATATATTCTTTTTTAACTATGTAACTTTTTCTCATACCTGTATAAACGCGAGATGTCTTGTTCATTGAACTGATTTCTTTTATGCTCTTTCTCAACACGATCGACGAGGATTTACGCTGCCAATTTCAATTTGTTTGAGATTGAAGTATAGTTTTTATTTTTATTTTTATAATCATATCTTTTCTCCAACAAATTATGTAAGCTTTAAATTAAAATGAATAAACCTACTCTATGGCCTCTGAATATTAAAACTAGTTTAGGCTTTTAGCACACACAAAATCACGTGTTAAGTTAACAAATAATACAGGCCTTGTTCCAAATAATTTTTTGAAAAAAAGGATAAAGAAACAGATGGATTATTTAAAAAAGAAAAAAGAAATAAAAAGAATGGCAGTCATGTAAATAATAGGAATTTTTTTAAAAAAGGATAAAGAAACAGATGGATTATTTAAAAAAGAAAAAAAGAAATAAAAAGAATGGCAGTCATGTAAATAATAGGAAATAGAGGGGCAAAAAGATGAAGTTAAATGCGAGGCGGAAGGGGCCAGGTGGATAGTATAAAAATGGGCAACTGAAACACTGTATCCTTACCACCCAGATTCCACTGGTTCCCTGCTTTTTCTCTTTCTCTCTCTCTCCAAAAAATTTGAAAAAGCAAAATTGAATTTTATATTTAAAAAGTATTTATTTACGGAGAAAAAAAGGACCACTACAAGATCACAAACCCTAGAAATTTCGTGAATCTTATAATTTTCGTCGGGTTTGATTGATCAAAAGTGAAGTCTTTTACGTTATTATATCAGGTGCAATACATTTCTTCGTGTTCTCTCTAGAATTTTCTCCGCAGTAAAAACGGAAAAGGTGCGTTTTTTAAATAAATCCTTTTTTTATGTATGAAATTGTTGAATTTTTGTATGTTTTATGTGTTTAGTTGTTGAATGTTGATCTGGATGATTTGGATTGATATTTGTCTGGATTATGTGTATTAATGGAGACATAATGTAAGGGTAATTGCTTGATTTTGTGATTGTAATTTGAGCGGAATATGGACAGTTAGTGGTTTGGTTTACGAAGCTTAGGCTCAGATCTGTTTTGCATGTTTGAATTTCATTGTTTTTTTTTGGATGGAATTTTGTTTTTGCAAATTCATGTTTTTTTAAAAAAAATTTTATTTCTTATATTGAATTCATTTTCCTTTGAAATATTGTCTCCATTTCAAATAGAATGAAGGACAATCATATACTAGTTTCTTTTTCTTTCTATTCGGACATTAATTTCTTAATTTTCTTAGAAATAAACTCTAGATATCTAGGGAAAAAAATACTACTCTGTTTAAGGTACCAAAGGTGTGGCCTAGTGGTAAATGAAGTGGGAGGAGAATAATGAGGTTTCAGGTTCACATCCTAGCGGAGGCGAAAATAACTAGGTGATTTCTTCCCATCTCCTAAAGCCTTTGTGAACAGAGTTATTTGGTACCTGTGTAGTGAGAGGTAGCAGGTGTCCGGTGGAATAGTCGAAGTAGGCTCAAGCTGGTCCGGACACTAAGTCATCAAAAAACAAATAATAAAAATATTACTCTGATTGAGTTACAATTTTTTCATTGTTAAAGATATTGAATGAATTTATGAAACTGCTGGTTTGGTTGCCTGAGGAGAGAGATAAAGATAAGAGGAAGGTTTTTACTGCATAAATGTGCTGGTAAATGGAACTAGAGATATTTTACTTAGTTATATAAGGCTATTGGGAGAAGTGGTAATTGTAAGCTGAAACTTCATGATTGATTTGGGTTTCTTTTATCAAAGCCTGTTGTTTAGGTGGGCTGTAAACGTTTGATTTCTTTAGAACCATTACAAAGATTAAAGTTTTTTTTTTTCACTTGCTACCTAAAGAAAATTTAGATTCTTGAATTTTTTTTGACTGTGTTGGAGATAACAGTGATATGTTACTTTCATGGCGTTGCAGGGAGAACAGTCTCACCTTTTGATCTGTTTCTTTTGTTCTGAATCTGCTGATAGTAATACACAACAAATTTGAAAGAAGCGAGACTGACTCGCCGGTATATAATATTTTTATCATGGTGGTCACTGCTGCTACTGGCGCATTCTTTCCTGTTGCTAATCCACCTCCTGAATCTGGTGGAGCAAAACCATCTGGAAAGGTAGGAGGAAGTCTTCCTGGAAGTATAGATGCACGGGGGCTCAATGCTAAGAAGCCTGCTTTTGGGAGTCTACAAGCTAAGGCCAATGCTCAAGCTCCTCCTAAGGTGAATGGAACAAAGGTAGGCATTATGGATGGCCTCAAAACTGATGATGAGGTGTTTTCTTCACCTCCACCAAGGACCTTTGCAAACCAGTTGCCTGATTGGAGCATGCTCCTTGCTGCCATCACAACTATCTTTTTGGCTGCTGAGAAGCAATGGATGATGCTTGATTGGAAGCCCAAGCGTCCTGATATGCTCGTTGACCCATTCGGTTTAGGAAAGATTGTGCAGGATGGCCTTGTTTTCCGTCAAAATTTTAGCATCAGGTCCTATGAAATAGGGGCTGATAGGACTGCGTCTATAGAAACGATGATGAATCATTTACAGGTATTCTAGGCTTTCATTTCCACTTAGCAAAGAATTATTGACTTGAAGTTGTAGAAGCATCTTGTTTTGATACCTTCACGAGCTTGAGTTTGTTCTGCAGGAAACTGCTCTTAACCATGTCAAGTGTGCGGGACTCATGCATGGTGGGTTTGGATCGACTCCAGAAATGTCCAAGAGAAATTTGATTTGGGTTGTTACCAAAATGCAGGTTGTAGTGGATCGCTATCCTACTTGGTAAGTTTCTGCTCTTGCTTCTCTGACATGCTGTATCGGAGTCTGAGGTACTAGAAAGGGTAAAGCCGAAGTTCAGCCATTCTTGGCACTGTCTTTGTTGATCAATATTGAAAGCAATTTGAAATTGAGGTTCATACTCCAGAATTATTTAATTTGTTTAATTAAAACTTCTTCTACCACACATTTATGTAATATTGCTTAACCACAAGTCAGTTTTCTATTGTAGTCTTAAAGCTCTGTATAGCATTTTGCTATTCTGTGATATGAGGAATCACTTTGATGAAGTTGAATTTAATATAATTCCTTATCTCAAAATCCATGCACTCTTTTTGGAAGATAATGACCAATTTAAACAGGAAAATCTTGTTTTACATGACTAGAAATCTCTAAAGCTCTTTTAGGTGCCAACTAACCTCTATCATTGAATCATTTTGCTCATTTTCCGCCTAGCTATTAAGCAATTAATTTCCCGTTCTATCACAATATTGCAGTTAAGCAAACTATCCACAGGAGAAATATTAGGGGTTTCTTTACATTTGTATAGTTACTTTGGATCTGTTGGGATTATTCTTTTCATACCTGTTCTACTGATCTCCCTATTGATATTTCAAACACTATGCACAGTTTCTTTGACATGTGAAATGAGCATGGAGATCTTTGGACTGATTTCTTTCTCACAGGGGTGATGTTGTTCAAGTTGACACTTGGGTGGCTGCATCAGGGAAGAATGGTATGCGGCGAGATTGGCTTGTCCGTGATAGTAGTACAGGGCATGTATTGATGAGAGCATCCAGGTAGAGCCATTATTGTTTAATCTACTTCAGTTTGATTAAATTTTTACACGATGAACTTTTACAAGCATATTATTCAGTTATGTTCGATGTAAAATGATTTTATCATTTCCATTTAGGTTTGTCTCTTTGTGGTTGTAAGCTTCTTTTTGGATTTGGCTGTTTTATGACCAAGCCATAGTTCCTGATCTCGTATGTAGACATGTAATTTTTGACCCTCCCCGAAATTTTACGTCTTTTAGTGTTTGGTGTTGGTTTTAGGTGTAGTAATGCTATTTTGATTATTTTTGACCTTTCTGCTTTATTTTATCTTTAAAAAACCATTTTATCATTTTAAAGAGGGTTAAGGTGGTAAAAAGGGGTGTGACATGTAGTACGTTTGGTGGCCAACCATGAAACCCTTGATCTATTCATTGTTTCATAACTGTGACTAATTTTGTTTCCATTTGCTTGCAGCTTATGGGTGATGATGAATAAGGAGACAAGGAGATTATCTAAAATACCGGAGGAGGCTCGGGCTGAAATTGAAGATTATTTTGTTGATTCACCTCCTGTTATTGACGATGACAGCCGGAAGTTACCAAAACTTGACGAGACAACAGCAGACTACATTCGAACTGGTTTAACTGTAAGTAGAAGGATTCTTCACTGGTGACTTNGAAGGATTCTAGACTGGTGACTCTGTCATATCTAAGGACATCTTTAATATCTTCTGATTTGTTGAATTTACAGCCAAGATGGAGTGACTTAGATGTTAACCAGCATGTTAATAATGTCAAGTACATTGGCTGGATTCTTGAGGTAAATCCTCTTCCTTTTCCTCCTCCATCCTTTAAAGTATTTTTTTCTTCCCTGTTATTGCTTGTAAAATATTTTGGTTTATGATTAGGTTACGTAGCACAATAGATGTGTTTAGATTTTCATCATATTCTGAAATCGTGTGTACGATGGAGAAAGAAAAACAAAACTAAAAGATCACGTGTGCACTGCACACACTAACCCAACCGAATTCTGTATTTTCTTGGATTCATGGTGGTACTGCATATCCTGAGGTTTCAGAAAGAGCTGAATTATGTCCTATGATGTGTCGATGTGTTGGGAGCTTTTTGCATACTTAAGTTCTGAAATACTTATCTACTTATATCTCCGGTTAGAGGAGAATTGTTGTTCGTCATTTCCCTTGTGGGTTGTGCACCATATAGGAATAAAAAGTGTATATGTAAAATCAAGTTTTTTTCTTCTTGTGGCTGGTAAGTATGAAATTCTTGCCAATTCTTTTATTTTTCTATAAAACTAAAGTGAAAAACCTCTTCCCCAAGAAAATGAAGTTCTTTTTATCAGCCTAAAGTAGGGAAGGCTATATAAACTCAAATGAGCAGTGTGATTTGCAGTGTACTGAAAGACTCTTGATGGTTAGTGAAGTGTCTTTAGGTAAATGTGGAATTCCCAATATTTCTCATATCACTAGGGGTACATAAATAAAGAAATCTTCTCTTGAGTGCTCGAGAATCTTGGTTTCGTCGTGTCATTATGTATTTGCTTCTATTTATCACACCNTCACTAAGGGTACATAAATAAAGAAATCTTCTCAGAGTGTTCGAGAATCTTGGTTTCGTCGTGTCATTATATATTTGCTTCTATTTATCACACGGCTCAAATTGTGGGACATGTCTTTGGCTGCAGAGTGCACCCATGCAAATACTGGAAGGCTGCGAGCTCGCGGCCATGACATTGGAGTACCGAAGGGAATGCAGAAGGGACAGTGTGCTGCAGTCACTGACCTCTGTACTGGACAAGGGTGTCGGTGACTTGGATGACATTGGGAATGTTCAGTGTCAACATTTGCTTCGACTCGAAAATGGTGGAGAGGTTGTTAAGGGGCGGACTGAGTGGAGGCCAAAACGTGCCATCAATGGAATTGGGAGCATCG